CCCATACAACAAATAACTGTTCAGCCCAAAACACCTGAGGTATCAAGGTTGAGAAACCCTATTATCCTGTTTTATACATGAGGGAACTGAGGATCTTATAAGCTCCTTGAGAGGTCAGTGCCAATGTTATCCCCATTCCCTTCACCACTAATCATACTAGTGTGCTTCCTGTGCACTTGGGTACATCAGACCACTTTTGCCTGATACCATTAAGGATTTAATTTGTCTATGAAGCAGCACCACATAGTGGCTCAGAATAAGGTCTTGTCACCATACTTTTACTTAAATCTTCCCCCATGTCTACCAATACTTCATAGATATTTGATCTTAGATGAGTTCAATGACATCTCTGCTCTGTTCTCAGTTTTTTTTACCTATAAAATTGACCTAATAATGTTGAGTTTATAGGTTTTCTGTGAGGAGTGAATTATATACTCATTTAGACCCATACCTGAGGCATTGTAGGCTGGTGCTGGCCTGGCATGTAGATCTGGCTTTGAAGAAGAGTGATGGTTTTTTTCCCAGTAAATTAGTAAGCATACCCCCTAACTTATTCCCCAGTCCAGGAAGCTTGAGACATGGGAAGATCCTTTGTTAAGTGTCCCAGGGCAGACTCTAAACCATGGAAACCATCCCTGAGCATTACTTTTTCCTTCAAAACCTCTTCCAGGGCATGAGGACCAGAGTCTAAATGGTCCAGCTAAGCAAATCCTTGCTTTGGAAATGATGTGAGAATGTGAATAAGGAAGAATGAGAGCTCCTTGGCAGCACTTTGGGCAGCATTCTCTTCCAGCTGGTTGGCAGAGAGTGAGTGGGACTGGAACTCACTATAGCTGGACTGCACAAATATTCCCCTCACAAAAAATCTATCATCTTAGAAGGCCTTGGGCCTCCTTATATGGGGAGGGGCAGTCTCTTTTCTGTTATATAGAATACCTGGCTGGGGATATAGCTCAGTGGCGCAGCACCTGCCTGGCAAGCATGAGGTCCTAAGTTTGATTCCCAATACCCCCACCAAATTAGAATTTATACCATAGAATACCTGAGACTCAATGATTTATAAAGGAAAGAGGTTCATTTTGGTTCATACTTCTGGAGGCTGAAAAGTCCCAGAACATGCTGCTAGCAAAGGCCTTGGGCAGCTTTATTTATAGAAGAAAGCATAAGGGCATGCAGAAGGAAAGGGCTGGAACTCTTCGCCATTGCTAACCTGTTCTCCAGAGAAAGCTAGTGAAGCATTCATGAAGGCTTCTGCTCCTCTCTAGCCCAGACAACTCCCACTAGGCCCCACCTCCCAACCTTCACTCTGCATCCTTCATTTGAGAACATTATGTAGTAGAAAATGCTGCACATCTTTGTGAGAAGATGAGTTTTGAAAAGTCTGGAGTTGAGTATGAATCTAATGTTTCTAAAGAATACACCTTGGATGAGGCTCCCATTGTGACATGAGGAAGAGGAAAAGTTTCTATCTGACCTCTTTCTGATGATAGAGAAAACCAAGTACAATGTTGTATTTCCTGTTCTGGGTTTATTTTCACACACAAATGTTCCTCCCAGTGTTGTACTGGGAGGAACGCACCTGTTCCACCACAGGAACAGTTGAAACACAGTCACATCTGTCATCTCAGGGGACATTCATGTTAACCCTGATGCTACATCTCCATTTTACAGAGGTTGCAACTTAGCTCAGAAAGGATTTGATTTCTCCAGAGCACAAAGGTAGTAAATGGTAGCGTTGGTCTGATGGCAAACTTGCCCTTTTGTCATTCTGTCTCACAGTTAAGGATCAAACCTCATTGCTGACATCAGCAAACTGATATCTTGTCAGGAAATAAATATCCTACCAAAACAACTAGAAATCAATAAAAGATAATGAAGAAGGCTGAACACATGAGTGTGGTTTATATGGAAGAGTCTTGATCTTGGGTTCTCGGGGCTGTCATCTCAACAGCGGGCAGAAGCAAAGCATCCTGGCTTTGTAGTAACCTCTTGAAGACATCTGAGGTCTGAATATCAAAGATAGAGTCACTAATTCTTTATTTCAGGAGTGACCATACAATCTGTCAAACTAGGCTACTTTGGGGGTCTGAATGAGGACATTACTAATAATTAGGCTTTAGCACATTAGGTATAAAGTGGGATTGTCCCAGGAAAATGGAGAATATAGTCACAGTACTTATGACCAAAATACGTGGGGTGGCTTTGCAGGCTTCCTGAAGAAGGCATGAGGGTCAAGACTGTGGCCTTGCATCCAAGTGAGATAGACCCCTGTTCTTCCTCCTTTGCTCCACTCTCTGACCCTGCGTTTCTGTTTCTACATCTGCATAGCAACTCCAGGCATGCCTACTGATCAGTGATTTGCTGTTGTATAACAAGTTGCCTCAAAACCTACCAGCTTAAAATATGGATTATTGATTAAGACATTGATTATTCCTTCTGGTGGGTCTAGAATTCCACGGCTGCTGTGGCTCTGGGTCTGTTATGCAATTCCATGTCTAAAGGTTTCTCACATAGCTGGTAAGTTAGTGCTGGCTATTCGTGGAAACCTTGGCCTTCCAAGGCCTAGCAGTACAGTTCTGAATATTGATGGAGGAGGATGGAATTTGATATCCAGCAATACTAAGCACAGGAGCTCAAGCCACCTTCATGACTTGAGGGCCTAAAGACAAAAGTCAGCTCTAAGGCTTCCAAAGATACAGGTTGCTCCTCAGCGAGGTCCAGGTGGCCACAAAGGACCCTACCTCAGTTCATACTTCTGCAGGTATCATCCTGAAACCCTCTGGTCAGCACTTTCATCTCCCCTTTAATGCTTGGAGCCACCCTGGCTGCTTCTCTCTCTCAATCAGGGAAACTGGGCCTCGGGAATGTAGCAGAGGGGCCCTTCAGCCTGCTGTGCTCTGCTAGGTTCTGTCAAAGGTTTCAGAATGCTGTCGGGTACCTGTTTTACCTCTTAGTGGTAAGCAACAGAAACCAGCACGAATACACACAGAATATGTCCACTGCAGAAAACCTAAGGTTGGCTTTGTCCACAGTCCCTGTTGGACCTCCAGAAGTTGTCACAGTGTTGTGCTCTCCATCAGCTTCTCTTTCCTCAGAGTGATCCTAATCTTCCTCCCTTGCTCATATTAATAAAGAAATACATTCTCTCCACCCCAGATCCTAACCATAAGTGCTGTGTGGCCATCGTAAGTGTCTACTTAAAACTCTAAGACATGACCAGTAGTGCTGGAAGTGACTGGGCTAAACCCCACTCACTGGAGATAGTGATATAGGATGACTTACCAATGGGAGATAGAATGTTAATCTCTTTTCTCAGAAACCTTTTGTAGAACTGAGGTCCCTCGACAACAAAAGTGAGAGCTTTTGTGGTCAAGAAGTTCGCATGACCTTTTCTTGGAGCCTTTCAGTGCTGTTTAAGTATAATATTTACAGAATTCTTTCCAGGTGTCATTTTTTGGCAGTTAAAAAGCATATGCTAAGGAGATGCAGAGTTGGTGCTCTTTCCTCCACAGGCCGCCTTCTAGAAAGTTCCAGTGAAGAGTCTGCCTTTTGTTTCCAGATACAGGAGAAGGCAGTGGATGGAGCCACAGAGGGAACTGGGAGGAAGGCCTCAAATTAAGACAAGAAACAAGCTCCCCAGATAAGCAGAAAATCCAAGCTTTGAAGCAGAGTCTGTCAAACTAGACAGATATGGGAAGTGCTTTCAGTCCTCCCTCATAAGGTCATGGAGCAGAGCACGTACTCTGAGCCTCATACCAAAGAAAGGTCTCCGCTTATAAAGTCTGTTGGATTTTCTTCACAAGGGAGCTGCTGGTTGGGACCCATAGACAGGCACACTGGCTGCAAGCAAGGGGTTTCCTGGCCATCTGCAAAGGCCCAAACCACTTGACTTGTGATCACACTGCCATTTCTGTCTGGGCTGAGGAGGATTGATGAATCTTCCAGGCCACTGAGACACTAATCCAGTTCTTTATTTCTGGTTGGAAGCCTCATGCAGGCCAGGGTCTGTTTTGTGGCTTAAAATGCCATGCATAAAACAGTTCCTTGCCTGGCATAAACAGTGTCTTGAGCTGCAGGCTTCGGTCTTCCACCTGCATGGTGCTAAGACAGAGTGTGGCTGTGTAGTTAGGTCCTGGGTAGGGTGTCCACCGTCAGCATGGATGGTCTCTGGGCCAACCAAGTCAAGCTGACATGGATTGAAATCCTGATTTCAGACAATTGGTGCCCACTTTGACGAATTGCCCAAAGTCTTAAAGCTTTGTTTTACTTGACAGTATAGTGGGAGTTATGGAATTTACCCCACAATTCCAGGATTAATAATTGGCCAGACATAAAGAATGTACACGTTTAGTATCCCTTATCTAAAAGGCTTAGTACCAAAACTGTTTCAGATTTCAGGTTTTAAGATTCAGGATTCCCGACTTGAACTCTAAATGTGTATTCCTTCCTACTCTGTAGCATTTCCTTACAACACAGATATTGTAAAGTCAGCTCTCCAGATTTTTTAGGAGGGGAGCAGGAGACGACCTGGAAAAATGTCATACCTGGTGCCATACTGATAGCTGGTGGCCTGTGAAGGATTTCCATTCCCCAGGGATAGAGGGCTATGCATACTTCCCAACATCCCTTACTCCAGCCTGGAGGGGCACTCTGGTGTTCACTGGCTCATCAGACCCATGCCCTCCCTTTCCTGTGAGATTGTCCGCATGGGTACAGCCCACAAAGCTACTTCCCTCCCAAGAGAAGGAAGCATTTCTCAGAATCTAGATCAGTGCCACTCAAAGTGTGGTCTCCTCATGAGCACCATCCATATCAGTTGATTAGAAAAGCATACTCATTGGTGCCTGCTCCTGAGTCACAGACTCTGAGGGGAGTCTCAGAAGTCTGTATTTTGAGGACATTCCAGCTGACTGATACACACCAAAGTGTGACAGGCATGTGATTGGAGGACAACAGAAAGAAAACCTCTGCTGCAGCATTCTGAGGACCCCTTCAGATACCAGAACCAGTGAGGGAGCTTGCATTCTGACATCAGACTGCCAAACCTGACTGCTCACTCTTTGGCAAAGTTGCTGTGTGACCTTGAACAAGTTCCTTTATGCTCAGTGGGCCTCTGTATCCTTATTTGAAAAACAGAATCGTCGTAACACTTGCCTTGTATGGTTGTTGAGAAGCATAAATCGGTTCATCCTAGCAAAATGTGCCTGTGAACATTCGCTGTCACCTTCATTTTCAGGCAGTGCACTTGGGTTGAAGGTCTTACTTTGATGGTGCTTGCTACAGCTAAATGCTTACATCTACCAGTTATGTAGGTGTTAGAACAAAGAAAAGTTGAACAATAAGAACCATGGCGGCAGCCCCACAGTAATCTTTTATAGAAAGGATTCTTAATCCTTTAATATATGGATCCTTTAATCCATATAGAAAGATGCAGTAGGAATTACTCCATATTTTACAGAAAGGGTCTTGAGATACTACTTGGTAAATGGTAAAACTAAGATTTGAACTAAGTCACTTTGTGAAAAAAAATCCTTGAATAATCACAAATTGAGTTTCTGGGATGCTGTTTTCTTCCCCCTGGGAAACCAAAGAAAAAAATGGCATTAGCATGTTATTCAAGGTCCCTCCCCACATTCCCTAGAGCCTGGTACAAGCAATGAGAGAGATACCCTTCCTAATGTGAACAAAGGGAAAACATTTAGGAATGATAATTAAATGAGTTCATGTTTAAGAGGTGCTTAAATGGATTAAAATCAATATGTTGTCAAGTAAGTGTACAAAGTCATGTTAGCTGGCTTCCTTAATGTTTCATGGGTGGAATTCTTTGTTTTGAAAGAATCTAGTGCAGCTCTGCCCTGCAATGGATGTGGATGCAGAGGCAGAGAGGATGAGAGGTTTACAAGTCCTGGGAGGCCATCTGCTCAGAGTCTGGCGCCATGCTGGCGTGGCCACAGCTGAGGCACTGAGAAAAGAGGGAAGCTGTATATTTCTGTGATGGTCTCTTCCGCGTGCCATAGCCTGAGTTCCCTAAAATCAAATCCTGAGATAAGACATCTTGTAAAAGCAGTCTACTCAGAAGTATTTCTAGGAGAATGGGGAAGTAGGAACTGGGAAGGGGAGGAGGCCAGGAAAGGATACGATATCAAACAAGTCCTCAGCAGAGAGAAACAAGATGGGAGAATTTGGCACAATCCTATGTATAGGTCATATTGCAGAGTATCCCTGTCAGGAACAGGAAGCTTGATTGTCTTCCCAAAGGAATGGAAATTTCTAGGTGCTGCCATCTCTCCATGTTCCCAGGCAAAGAGAGTTCAGTAGCTCACAAGTCATCCTCCAACAAAAGACATGGATGCTAGCTTTTGGGGAACCAGTGTACATGACCACAAATGGTAACATGACCTGTGAGGCTGCTAAGGGAACTCTGCCAGCATGGAGATCTGTCCTTCCCACACTTTGACCTGAGAGAGATGGTATGTAGTCAGAACAGCCATCTGAAACGGTACCAAAAACCAGTATAGAAAGCAACACATGAAAACACTTGTTGTAATCCCAGTACTCAGGAGGCTGAGGCAGGAGAATTGTTGAGAGTTCGAGACCAGCCTGGGCTACAAAGTGAGCACAAGGCCAGCCTGAACTACATAGTGAGACCCTGTCTCAAAAAGACAAAAAAAAAAAAAAGAAAAGAAAGGAAACACTTTAAGAGGAGAAAAAAGAATGAGCAAAATTGTCCTATGTGGGACACACGTAGAAAATGACATATACAAACACAAAAAATATTGATAAATCAATTACAACTACATGATCAGAGCTGGGGATTCATAAATCAATCCCATTTTCTTTCCCCAACAACTAAGGCAGCTCCTAACATAATGAGAAATTCAATATATTCCGCCAAGTTCAGAAACATAGCGGTCCTTAGGCAGCCTTATGACCCTGTGACTCAGCCTTTTTTTCACAGAACCACAGAAAAATTATTAATTTTCTGAAAGCAACTCTAGCAAGAGTAAATTTAAAACCTAGTCATTAAAACAACCAAAAGCAACCCTTACTATTTATATGCACAAGTAATTTTAAACAACTAGCATAATAATCTTAAAATGCTGAAGCCAAATATAGAAGAAAATCAAGTATTCTTGAAAACAAAGCCCATCTCCCTATATTTTCTTTAAACATGCAAAAAGGATACATAGCTTAGCTTTTAATTGTATTCATGGGTCTTAATTTGGTATTCCTGAAAAACTGTTTTGCAGTTGTTCTAATTGTATATTGAGCCCTGAAGTTTTTTACATCGGGCTTTTCCTTGATATGTATGCAATCTGAACCCCCAAAGATATAGCCTGTGCTCTCTTCTCATGGATGTTTTTAAAAGCTTGAGCCCTCCGCTGATACATGATTGTTACATCAGCTGACAAAGCATTCATTTTATGTCTGATTGGTATAGTTTAGATCCAGAATGCTCCCTTAAAGCTCATGTGTCAAGGTCTTGGTTCCCAGTCCATGGCACTATTGGGAAGTAGTGGAAGCTTTAAGAGATGTCGCCCTTTCCTGACCTCCATAAGGTGAGCAGCTTTGTCTGACTATATACACCCTGCCCTGATGAACTACCTTACCCACAAGCAATGGACCAAACTGGTCATGGTCTAAACCCTCTGAAACCATGAGCCACTCAAAAATCATTCCTTTTTTAAAGTTGATTCAACTCAAGCATTTTGTCACAATGACGGAAAACTGACTAGCATGTAGGTATTTAACAAAAATACTTCCCAAGGATAGGAATATATCCTTGTACATCCATTCTTGGCATATGAAATTAGTTCAGTTATATCTATTGAATAAATTTGTGACAGCACAAATCTGTGCTAGCCGAGCATGGTGGCATACGCCTGTAATCCCAGCAATCAGGAGGCTGAGGCAGGAGGATCGTTGTGAGTTCGAGGCCAGCCTGGGCTACAAAGTGAGCCCCAGGCCAGCCTGAACTGCATAATGAGACCCTGTCTCAAAAAGAGAAAAAAAAAAAAAAAAAACAAAGAACAAAAAATAAGAAAATAAATCTATGCTAGCTACAAGATCCTATTCATAGTGTTTTGTTGTTGTTGTTGTTTTGGTATTGGAAATTGAACTCAGGACCTTGCACTTGCCAGGCAGGCACTTATGCCACTGAGCTATATCCCTGGCCCCTATTCATAGTGTTTGAGTCTGCTAGATAAAGTTTTGAATAAGTGGATTCTCAGCTGCATCACACAGTTCATTTATAATAGCTTTTGACCTATGTGTTCAAATATGAGCTAATTTTCCCCACTAAAATGAGTACTGATATGACTCTGGTAGACCTTGCTTGCATTCCATCATTTAAAGAACTTGTAGATGTTTTAGTTAGTTAAAAGGAAGCTAAAACAATGGTAATAATATTGAGTTATAAAATAGGACCTATGGCATGGGGCTAGGGAGAACTGATGCTTGTCTTATTTAGGGACACCCAATTCAGCCCCTTGTGCAGTTTACCCAAACACTCAGTATTCTTCTTAGCAGTTGGTCCTTATCCTTGCTTCCAGGCTGACCTCTTCATGGACCATGAACAGTACTGTAAAAGCAAATAGCCCAGTGAAGAGTGCCATGGCTACTCAATAGATAATTATTGAATGACAGAACAAAGAAAGTAAGATGTAACTGAAAACATACATGTCTTGCACATAATTATTCTACAAAGGCTGTTTCTTACTGAGACCAAATAAGAAACCTGTGTTGAAGGAATAAATCAGAGATGGGATTCCCACAGGGCCAGTGGCCTGTGGACACCAGTTTTGCAGGTAGCCATGGTCTCTACAATTGATGTTTCCAAGTCCCTGAACTGGGATCATGGTGAGTAGGGCACATGTCATGTGAGATTCCAGTCTGATAATTTACAGGCAAGGAGGACCATAATGGCACAGGTCCTCAGTCTTCACTAGAGTCAGGGTATGGAGAAGGCATTATTTTTTTTCCTTTTACATGCCGGGTCTGAATGTCTTAACCTCCATATGGTAGCGGTTGCACTGTCGTTTTTTCACAGCCTGTGGAGAATGTTTGCCTCCAGTGGTCTAAAGTCCAGATTCTGCTTTAAAGGATCCCATACTGATGCGTGGGGCCTACAATCTGCATCTTTAACCAGCCCACCAGGTGATTTTACTATAGTTCAGTTTTGGGGGGTTCCTAAGTTGGTACATATCAGAATCATTCTGGTTGGTGAATACCCAGACTATATGCTTTGATGTGGACTGCAGTGGGACTCCGTTTGGATCTTTTTTTTTTTTTTACCAAGTTTCCTCCAAGGCCGTCGTCATCATTGTTCCACCTGTGTTATGCAGATTGGAGAGACACCTGTCTGGTGGTTCACAGGCTCATCCCTGGGTATAGGGCTGGGTGAGAGCAGCATGCACTTGGTTTCAGCCCTTACCCTCAGCCAGGTCTTGTGTGCAGTGTGCAACCAGCACAGCTGTACATGGAATCTCTGCTCCCTTGGTGGTGCCAGTGCACACTCCAGTTAGGAATCAGTGAAGAGTATCGGCTATTAATAAACTTTGAAGGCTGTCAAACAAAAATAAAGTCATATGTTAAGATTTGTGTGGGGCAGCTTATAGAACAGTTCTGGTGGAAGCTCCAGCAATCAATTTTAGAACATTCTCTTACCTAAGAAAGAATTTCCATGCCTCTTACTGTCATCCTAAATTCCATATCAAGCAACTACTAATCTCCTTTCTGTCTCTCTAGATTTGCCAATTTGAGACATTTCATATAAAAGATTAGTTTATATGAAATGGAATGAGACTTTTGTGACTGGCTTTTTTCACTTAGCGTAATGTTTTCAAGGTTTGTTTGTGTTATGGCACATCAGTATTCATTCCTTTTCATGGCTGAGAAATATTTCATTGTGTGAATATACCACATTGCATTTATTGGTTCAGCAGTTGATGGATATTGGATTGTTTCCCTCTGTATTAAAATGTTAATTTAGAGTCTTTTGCTCACTAAACATTGCCTCCTCAGAAGCAGAGATCCATTCTCATCTGCCTATGTATCTCTTCTGTTCTATCTGGTGTTTTGTAGATATTCACTAGATGAATAATGAATGGATATATAGCTGGATAATGCCTAAGTTTTCCCAAGGAAACTTTGAATACATTCTCCATGTTCTCTGAAGATGCACACCATGGGCCCTAAGGTCCAAACAGTCAACAAAATGGTCCATCCTCTGCATCCCTGCCCAAAGATTCTTTGACCCACTTTGTTCTGAGAGTACTCTGCTACCCCAGAGCAGGCATCAGTGGCAGCACTTCCTTGTGGGGCTTCATTCAGTGGGTCCATAGGTATGCACTGTGTGTTCATTTTTGATTCAAGAGTGTCATTGCTTGTGTTTGTTCTGACTCCAGAACTATCTATGCTAGACACTCAGCTAAGAATGCATATTCAGAGCCTGAACAAATAGCAGGAGGCAAGGCATTGTACAAATGTGCCACATGAGGAATGTAGTACGACAGCTGAAATCTGTAATGTCAAGTGTTCAAATGAGTCTTTTCCCTTCACCCATATGTATTCAAAACCCCAAGTCGTGTTCTATAGGGAGACTGGGGAGGAGGTGAGTGAGGTGCTGGTCAGGGGACAGAAGTTAACATTTAAAGAGGACATGCGAAGAAGCAGTTGTAATCACAGGCTTTAGAAGGGATGTGCCCACTCAGATCCTGGGTCCATCATTTGCCAAATGGGAAACCCAAAGGAAGTGATACAACTTGTTTACATTCCAGGTTCCTCCTCGTAAAGTGGGAACAGAAGGAGGAGTTACTGCATGAACTACTCAGATAATGGGTTCAAAGCATTGCCTAGCATTGCCTAGCACATAGTTAGCCCTGCCTGAGTAGGAATCATGCAAGGTCTCCATCCTGTACCCATCGTCCTTGGCAGTGCAGCAGTAGTCTTAACCAGCAGGTGCCAGAACTTCACTTCAGAGGTGAGAAAATCAAGGCTTATAGAAAGGATGGTAAATTTGTGTGGAAGCACATGTCTGCCACATATCTGAACAGTCATCAAAGTTTGGATGCTAACAGCAAAGTCTGTGCATTTTCTAGGCTGCAAGCCCAGGTGCCTGCCTTTACCAGCAGAAATTTTATGAGCCCAGTGCCAAAGGGGGTTTCTCTGTGAATAGGACTGCTCTGGTGCAGCTTAGGCTAAGTTATCATTAAGTGGGGCTAGTAAAGTATTTTCTGGAGTAAATCCTCTTTCTGTTAACTCTGGGCCAGGTTAGTAGTAACTTTCCTCCCTTCTGACGACACCTGCTTAGGGAATTTGAGGAAAGCACTTACCAAGTTTACCTGAATTCTAAATCAGCTAAGAGGCCTCTCTTCCAGGTCACGGGTCACTCCTGGTGTGTCTGGAGGGAGGAAGGGATCTTAGAGGCACACCACCAAACTGACAGCCAGACACAGAGACCTGTCTTCTGTGTGACAGACACACATGGGAGCTGGAAAATGAGAAGTAAAACTTCACACTCCACCTGACACTAAGAGTAAACCCATTATAGACCTCACAGATTTTCTGTTCCTAAAGAACACTGCATTGGTGGTCAAATAAGGTTCTCCAGCCTGAAATTAAGTGCTCGTATGAATGAGAGGAAGGAGGCTGGAGGCCAAAGAGGCTCACTAACTTCATTATCTGATTCTTCCAACCTTCGCACTTTATGAAGAAGGCGGGAGCCTGGCTCTACTGGCCAGGCTCCCGGGGCTGGGACAGCCAAGGTATGTCTGGAAAACAGAAGGGCTTTGCCAAGGCAAGCATCCCTCATGCCAAGCAGACCAGCAAATGAGCTGCTTCTTGTATTCAGTCCCTTTAAATGAATCTTCCATGAGCCAAAGACTGTTCATTTAATAAATGTAAACTCAGGGACTACTAAGTACCAAGCACTGAAAATACAGAAGTGAATATGCACAAACCAAGTATGGTTTTCATCATTTTGTTTTTTAAAAATATCAATTAATGACTTCCTGATTGTAAAAGTAATGTGCATTGGTAGAAAATTTAAATTGAATTACCTATAAGCTCCAGGGAGAGACCCTGATAGTATTTTACGGTATTGGCTGCCATTGCAAACCGAAGAAAATGGGACTGGGAAAAGGGCCAGTTAGTGAATCCTCTTAAAATAGGGTCCCAGATTTCATAGTAAAAATGTTTTTGAAGGTTTTGATTGGGACTCTGCTTGAAAAATGAAACTAAAAAAATTACAAAAACTAGTTTTATTTTCTTCTGTGTTTAATAGCACATGTAACACTGTAATTAGAATTGTCAGAGATCTCTTAGACCCAAGGTGAAAGCTTATTTGCTTTATTAGGGTCTTTAACTACAATAACTGTGCCCAGCTGGGCATGGTACACACACCTGCAGTCCCAGAATTCTGAGAGGCTGAGACAGGAGGAGCCCACCCTTGGGAACGTAGTGATTTAGGAGGACCCTGTCTCAAAATTTTTAAAAAAGGGTTAAGGGTATAAGTCAGCGCAGGGACCCTGGGTTCAGTCCCCAGAACTGAAACAAAGAAGTGAGCAATAACAACAACCAAACTACGCCGATTCCCAGAACAAAAGAAGGAAGTGAGTGCCAGGTAGACAGTTTGGGATGTGCATTTTCCTACTGTGTCGTAGTTTGCCTCCTATTTTTGTTTTTCTTTTTAGTACAATCACAGAATTATTGGTTTTTACAATGGTTATTTTCCCAAGGGCTTTCATTGATTTTTTTTTTTTTTTAATTTTAAACCTTTGTCTTCTGAATCATCTTAAAGTGTTACCATACAGGATGATTTTGACTTCTTTAAAACTAAATTGAGGCAACTCTGCCAGATCCAAATTGACAGTGGCTTTGTGGAGGTTTGACCAGTTTTCCAACATTCCTTTTGCGAAAGCCTGCATCTTTTGCAGAGGGCTTGGGTTTCACTCTGTTAGATTTGCACTATAATTGAATTGGATCATCAGATTTTATGCTCTTGGCAGTCAGGGACCCTGGATAGGTAGATTGTTCACTGGTCCACATTTTCAGTCAGCCAGGTCTCTTACAATCATGAGCTTTGCATAGATGTTAAAGTTCGCTAAAGTCACTGTAAGCAGTGATTAGAGCATGGAAGGAGCCAGGCAGAGGAGAAGCCCAGTCCCTCAGTCCCTCACACACTTCCCGGCAGGTACTGGGTGTGTGGCCGGGATGATAAGCAGCCTCCACCAAAATGCACCTACTAAAACTACATTTAGCCACATCTCCTGAGAATTGATTTTTCATTAAGTTTATTTTTTAAATTGAATTTTTTTAAATTAAAACATTTTAAATTCTGGGTCTTTCTGTGACTATAGGGTCTCTGCTTGACTACTAGCAAGATACACGGCTCCACAATGACCCTGTTTTTTAAGGTTATGTGTTGGGTGTGACCTAACACAGGAAAACAAAGAGGTACCAGTGTTGTCTTGCGTAAAGTGTTCCCATAATGAGGGGGGAGCTATATCAATTTTATAAACTGCAGTTAGGACAGTTATCTTTTTCTTAGTAGAGATTTAAGCAGAATTAATACACAGAAGTGTATTCTCTTTGTTTCTCTTCATTACCTCTCCTTACCTGGGAGCAAATGCCCAGCATTTTCCAGTGGCTGTGGGTACCAGAAGCCTCCCTTGTGAAGAGTCGTAGTCTGGGGTGGGGTTCCCCAGAAGCAGCACCTGAGATGGGGATTATTGTACAAGTGGTTTATTTAGGAAGTGACCTTGGAGAAGAGGAGTAAATGAGGCCAAGGAGGTAGAGGAAGTTGCTGAACAGGAATGCAGGCTCAGCTGATATCTTCCTCAGCCCAGGCCTGTAGGGAGCTCTGAACATGAACTGCACAATAGAGATGGTCCCACCTTGAGACGGAAGAGGTGTGCTTTGGTACCCGTGTCAGTTATGCTTGCTTTGGAGGGTGTTATAACTCCCAGGCAAAATGACTCCCGTGCAGCTGGGGCACGCTGACCCTTCTCGGAAAGGGCCCTGGGAGAGCTCTAGCACCATCTATAAGGGGCCCTCATATACGCCAGAGCCCATACTCTGCTGTGCCTCCTTGAAAATCATAGCTGTTGTTGGAGAGAGGGGCATAGAATTAAAACCTCAGTGTGCAGAGTCCAGCCCAAAGTAGCCACAGTGGTAGCCTGTCCTTACCCTGGTCCTCATCCCCACCCTGGGGAAACTTACAGGTAGGCAGATCAGCCTCTCTGCAGTAGAAAGAAGTGAGGCTGTAGAAAGAAGCCCTCCTTTACTTAGTGTGATATTCTTAGAATATATCATTCTTAAACTAGCAAGATCTTGAAAGACAGAATTAGTGGGGTGGACTTGGGAGAAAGGAGCCAGAAAGATGACTTGGTTGCCTTTTAGTTAGAGCTTAGGAAGTTTGCTGTTCATCTATGGCCATGGTTACCAGGCCAGTGAGGGTTTAGACCCAAAGTATTAGCTCAGAATGAACAATGGTTTTTCCTCTCCATTTGTCTTCTCAGGGAAGCATGGGAAGGTAGCCCGCTAGAGGCCTGAGGGCTTGGTCAGGGTTCTCCAGCCCACCATAGCCCCAGTTATGGCATCAGAACTGCTCCAAAGGGTGTGATAACCTCACCGAATCCACTGTACACAGCTGTCTTCCTTGCAGCCTGCCCATATCTTGGTGGTTTCTGTCTTGTAGGAGGAAATGGGCATCTCCTGTGAACTGCTGGAATCAGACTTCCTCAAATGCAGCGTGGGATTTCCTTTCATGAGGTCAAAATCGAAGGTAAGGAGCGGAGCTGGGACACTTCCTTGGCCACAGGCTTCCAGCCTTTCTCATCAGTCACATAACCAGCAACTGTGCCCCTCCCCCTCTGCACCCTACAGTGGCTGCCGAAGCTCTACACACCTCTGTCACTGGTGGTCCATTCCAAAGAGGCTATATTCGCATGGTTTTACTATTTGATGCACATGATGCTCCTTTTCGTGGTTAATCTTGTTTGTCAACTTGATTGGCTTGAGAAACACTGAGAAGATTAAGAAAGTACACTTCTGGATATGTCTAGGTAGATCAGTGCGAGGGGAGGGGGATGTGACCTTGGGGACTATATCTGGTCCCTGGTCCGGCCTCTCTGATTCTTTCCCTGCTCTCTGCTTCCTGGCTGCCATGAATTGAATAGTTTTCTTCTGCCATGATGTTTGTACCTTGAAGAAAGCTGGCCATAGACTGAAATTTCTGCAACCAGGAGCCAAAATAAGCATTTTCTCCTTTAAGCTTTCTCAGGTATTTGGTCACAGCAACAAAAAATCTGAATAAAATCTCACTTAAATGGGGAAGTCACATCACAGACTTCTTTGGCAAGTAGCATTTGATTGGCCTTCCTCTAAAATGTCTTGCTCTGAGACATTCCATGCCACAACCCAGGAAGAGATGTGGCGTAGGCTAGTGACCCACAACCCTGACTCTGGAACTCCCCTGGACACTCAGAATTCTCTGGAATCCTCTCAGAATTCTCAACCACAAATAGCTGTATGCCACTTGCTTTTGGAAAGTAAAAGAAATTATAGCATCTTTGATGTTTGTATAAAGCTCAAACAATATGTAGTACAGCATACCCAGACTTTCATGGAGCATTTAGTGTGTGCTGTGCTTATAAGGAGGTAAGAAGATAGTTAGAAGATTGGCTTTGGCAGGTAAAACTAGAATCTAAAAGACCAGGTCTGCTTTTTTAAATGAAAGCTATTTCCCCTTGTGAGATTTAAAGGAAAAGTAATCTACTTTGTCTTCCTTTTTCCTACCTAAAAAAGTAAAATCTTCATCCTTCTCTCCTGCCTGTGTCATAGAATCAAATCATTTTGGCTTTTTGGTCCCAGTACCAAGCAGTTGTTTTGAAAACCAATAGTAAGAACAGTCTAGTGAGATAGAAGATTTTCTCTCTTCTTATCAAATCACTCAAATCCATCAGCGCATTAAATGTACCTGCTCCATACTGCAGCAGCTGTTATGCCCATGATTCCTCAGCCTGTCTCTGGCTCCATTCTTCCTGTCCACATTCACCCCAAAAAGGGAAACCTTGAGAAGTGGTTGCCCCTAAGAAATGAATCACACATATCTGGCGGAAGGACAGGTCATGTCCCATTAGTCTCCAGAGGGGCGAGGCTGGGGATGAAGGGTGAAGACAATGGGCAGCTGTGCCTATAGCAGAGCATGTAGTACTTGTAAGTGTAATACTTTGAGGAATAGATAATAGACTTGATTGGGAAACTTTTAAGTTGCTGTTTCATTATAAAGTCCACCCAAGTCAAACCTAGAATATGTCTTACTATCTTTGGTGGAATGTTAAACTTTACTAAAATTTACTAACCATTAAAATAATCACGGGCCAGACGTGGTGGCACGTGCCTGTAATCCCAGCACTCAGGAGGATTGTTGCAAGTTCAAGATCAGCCTGGGCAACAAAGTGAGCCCAAGGCCAGCCTGAACTGCATAGCGAGACCCTGAACTCCATAGTGAGACCCCCAAAAAGACAAAAAAAAAATAGTCATGAAACCAAACCAACAGAAATATGAATATTAGAATGTTGGAATTTTTTTTCAACTGGCAATGCCACTACTTTCCTCCCACATGTAGATGTCAAGAACTATAGCAAATGGAGACATGGGAGTAAAGGATGAGGAAGCCCAACAAGTCCCCCAGAAGGGACAGTGCCCCATCTGCCACCCAGCTCCCCTTTGCCTCCCCTTCCCATGACCCTGAGGTCATGAGGCTTTGGGCCATCTGCTAAGCTTCGTGTCTACAGTATTGGCTGACCTTGGTTGGCTGTATGCTCTATCACTCATGGTCAACCTGCCTGGTTTCAGGCCTTATCTCTGACTTTGACTTCTTGCCAAATCATTTGCCCCTCACCTGAGAGCTTTGTCTTTTGTGTATCTCATTCAGATCTCTTGGCATGGCTCACGCTACTGAGAAAACATCCTTAATTCTCCCATTCTTTGTGCTCTCCAGCCCTACTTTCTGCCCAACTCTGTGTCCCACCCCGCTATAAACTGACAGACGCACTGCAACATAAGTTCTGTTTAGAAAGGGGTGTCCATGCCCCCTATAGCTGAGAACCAAATATTGCCAGTTACTCTTATATAGCATTCAATTCAGTAGAATCCAGTGTTGCAAAAACCTGACCATTACCTAGACTTTATCATAATGGAATCTAGTTTAGATATAGTAAATAAATCATAAACTCTCAGAGCTTGATGAAATTTAAGAATTGTTTTGTCTGGCTTCCTCTTTTTACTTCAATGTAAAGAGATTAGGTGTTTTGGCCAAGGTCACATACTTTGTGGTAGATTCTGATTCTACAACCCCCATCCACATTTTCCTCTCATATTCCCTTACATGCCTGGCATATATGTGATGAAAAACATTGGTTTAAGGCACTGTTACGCAAAACATAGGACACTCACTACTGGGATTCATGCACTAAGATGATTTTAGGTGCTTCATGGGATTATTTTGGGTGATACATGGACAGAGCACTAAACTTTAACAGAATGAGAATTACTACATTTTGCTTAAGTCACTCAGACTTCTATAATAAACTACTATAGAACAACCTAGAAAAGTAGAGTGACCTAAAAAAGCAGACATTTATTTCTCAGCATTCTGAAGGCAGAGTACAAGTAAGAGGTGCTGGAAGACAGGGTTCCTGACAAGGGCAGTCTTCCTGGTTTTTAGACAGACACCTTTTCTATGTGTATTCACATGGCCTTTCCATGGCTATGTATATAGAAAGAATTATATCTCTGCTTCTGTTTTTAGGAGGGTTCTACAAGAGCCCCACTCTCACAATCTCATCTAAACCTAATTACCTCCCAAAGGCCCCACTCCAGATATCATATTGGCAGTTCAAGCTTCAATGTATGGATTTGGGGGAGACAGAAACATTTAGCCCATAACTCTTCAACACCCTATCCGTGTAGAAAGTCTCCGACAGTGCTAGTATATCTCTAACACCTCCCTTTCACCTGCCAGTCTCACTTTTGAACAAAGACAGAGTAGACTTTAGGCTCAGAGGCTTCGGTAGCCTTCAGAATTTAACATTTTTGTTTATGACTATCTTCTCTTTAGGGCAAGTGGTTCTGGATTCCTATCTATGATAGTGACATAAATTGTTCTTTTAAAATAATCTTTAAAGCAGAAGACTGAGGCCACAAAAATGTGAAATAAATATCATAGCTGACATGATATACAGATGTAGCTAAATTGGGAAGATGATGCAAGTGAAATTTACAATGTCCTGGTTTAAGAGTTCAAATATGCCACTCCCTAAAGGGAATCTCAGTGGTTGAAAAAGGACTTGGTTTTGCTATGAAAGCTGTGTCTTTGGTAGGACAAGCAAAAAGATATGCATAAAAAATGAAGTTTGTCATGCAGTCGAGCTTCCAGGGGTCGTAAAATGGAGAATGTTGTAGGCAGTGTAGTTTAAGTGCAGCATGCTTCCTGGAGCCAACTATCACTTTCTTTTCCCCTAGTATAATTTCAGTGTAATCTTTGATACAAGCCACCTGTCTGGGGAAGAGGACATTCTCAGCTTCATTGTTACTGCTCAGAGGTAAGGGGGACCCATTTTTGTCAAAGATAAATGATTTGCTGATTGTTTTGAAATTTTGCAAGACTAATGAAACTTAGCATCATCTTGATGAGTGGTGTGGTAAGCTATGAGTGAGACTGTGTGTCTTATATGGAAACTGCCTTTCCCATCTTTTTCCCTTTATCTGTGCAGCTGTTACTTTGTTTTCTTTCCTATCAACTTCAATGAAGTATTTATATAAAGAAATGAATGAATGAATGAACGAATGAATGAGACTAGGAAAGGACATACTCTGGTCATCTTTTGATGATTCCCAGAATGCTGAAGAGAGAAGGACAGTTATTCAGTGATAAAAATCCCAATTGCTGACTAGGATCAGATCTTATGGGGATGGTGAGTACTAGTTCTGCTTGCATAGCCGCCACTTCCAGTTGAACTGGGAGGGGCTGGGAGTCAACTAGTTGGAGGTAATGATTCTACAGCTGAAGAGAGACAGGGCCATGGAGGTGAAGTTGTTCTAGTTCAAGGTCAGTTCCTGCTCGGCCATATGTTTCCCAAATGAGACAGATGTCCTCTTTAGGTTTTCAGGCTGGGCCAACTGCTTCTCAGGGATATGCAGCTGCACCCCTTAATGGAGAGGAGAAGGATACCTGCTATGAGGTCCTGATCAAGCTGGCTGGTAGAGGCCCAAGTGATGCTCCTTGAGAAGGGGGTTGTCCTGAAAGCTGGGTGAAGAGATAGGGAAAGGGATGGTGGGTGGTGACACCTCCATTCAGGAGTATGAATAGCTGTGGATATCTAAGACAGCCTTTGGGGAGTTAAGAGATGACTCTTTGAGCCAGGATCAACTCATGTCTTGAAGCAGCATCTAGGTAGCAACTAGCTGATGGCTAGAATGCAGGGGGGAGCATTCAGGTGGGTGAATAAGGAGATACAAGCTTTGATGGGGTAGTGGTTAGACCTATCCATTTAAATTTTTATTTGGATATTATTTTAAATATAAATGTTGCAAGAATAATGCAAAAAAAACCTCCTCTATTCACTCAGATTCTCCAATGTTGACATTTTGCCTCATTTACTTTACCAGTCTCTTTCTATATGTAACTTTTTTCTTAACCATTTTTCAAGTAAGTTGAAGAAATCATGCCTCTTGACTGCTATATACTCAATGTGCATTCCCAAAGAATGAGACTCTTAAATAATCACAGTATAGTTATCAAATTCAAGAAACTTAATATTGATGCAGTACAGTTATCTAATCTACAGTTCATGTTCCAATCATGCTTATTGGCCCTAGTGATATGTTTGCAGCCACTTTTTATTTATTTATTTATTTATTTGTTTTGTTTTGTTTTTTTCGGTACCAGGAATCGAACTCACAACCTTGCACTTGCCAGGCAGGCACTGTGCCACTGAGCTAAATCCCCATCCCCAGCAGCCACTTTTTTACTGGTTCAGAAGACTTGATTATTTTCTGTACACCTTATTTTCAAGATCTCATAATTCATGTTCCTGTAAAACATGACTGTGATCTAGTAGGAACACATGCAAAGCTTAGCAAAAATCCATACCCATGGCTGGAACCCAGGAGGGCTTCCTTGGGGAGGTGACACTGTAGAGGAGTCTGTTTCCAGGTGGAGACACAAAGGCAGTGTGTCCGCAGTACAGCCTGCTGTACTCGTCCACGTGGGTGGTGGCCATGGGAGTGAATGGAGATTCATGGGCAATCTCAGGGAAAGCTGGGGAGTGTAAAAAGGGCAGTAGATGATTGGGTAGAAAGTACAGCCAGTTGTGGTGGCATGTGCCTGTAATCCTAGCCTTCTGGGAGGCCGAAGCAGAAAGATCTCAAGTTCAAGTCCATGCTGGGCAGTTTAATGACTTAGCAAGACCCTATCTCAAAATAAAAATAAAAAATTAAAAGGGGGCTGGGGACGTGGCTCAGAGTTCATTCCCCAGTACCAAACAAAAGAAGAGCCTGAGCTGGACCCTGGGAACAAAACCTCAGAAAATCTGAACTGTATTCCTATAACAATGAGGAGCACCAAAAGTTGTTGAACAGTGCCCCAAGCCAACAGTTTGACCACAGAGCATAAGATAGTCGAGTTCAATGTAGGAGGTAAATGCCTATTCAAATCTGAAAGTTCTCATTCTCCTTTCATTTCTTGGGTCCACAGCAAACTTGCCACCGATGGGCAGACCCGTCAGCATGCTCTTAATCTTTCAGCACCCGGGGTAGCCACTGCCTCTGAGAAGGAACATGACATGATGACATGGAGAGGATTTCCCTTGTCAAAAAGAGGAAACTGCCTGCTTCCCAGCCTCATTTGTGACTAATCAGGGGGGTCAGAGAGGGCGATGAAAGATCCTCCTGTTAGAGTAGCCTGTCTGTAGGCCAACGGTGCTCTGGTCTTAGATGCACACTGACATCATCTAGGAAGTTTTCAAACATCCTGAGGCTTGGTTCATGCCACACACACACACACACACACACACACACACACACACACACACACAATTTTTGAAAAGGCTCATCACATGATTCTCATGAGCAGCCAACCCTGAGAGCCACTATCTGTGTTCCCTTATGCTGTGCACAGCACATTACCACTTGATAAACTTCTGTTATCACCTACTATTTACAGTTGCAGTGCTAAGTTTAGGCCACATAAGGAAATACTAGTAACCCAGTAAATTCAAGAATACCCCTTCTGTACATTAATATTGTTTCACAGGCTCGGGAGACCTAATATTTTCTTAAATTAATTTTATCAGTACGCTTCTGATATACATAATGATAACATTCATCATAGGGAATTTGTACCTGTACATAATATACCTTTATTTTTCTTTTTTTTCCCCATTCCCCTCCACTCACTTCACCCCTTTTCCCCCTCCTTATTTACAAGAGCTTTGTTTCCTTTTTTTCCTTCTAGTACCTTTTTTTCTTTTTCTCTTTCTTCCCTCCTTCTCCATCCTCTTGTTCCCCTTCCATTCATTTTTTTTTTTTTTTTTTTTGGTTTTTCTCCGGTACCGGGAACCGAACTCACGACCTTGCGCTTGCCAGGCAGGCGCTTCCCCTTCCATTCAAATATTTTCTTCCCACTTCCCGGTATCTGTCATCCCACTTTGCTCCTTATTTACCCTTTCAGATAATATTCATAGCTGAAATAACTGAATATACAAATTTATAGTTTCTTGAATCACAAATGTGAAGATCACATTATCTTTCAAACAAACACTGGGATATTTCAGTCAGTTGCTTCTTTTCAGGCCCTGTTGCAAATCTGGCCTTCTTGCCCCAGAGGCACTCACAGCACTTGACTCCCAGCTACACTGGGCAAATCCTTAAAGCTCCTTATCTTGAAAGCCACAGTTAAACTATCAGTTGTTCTTCCGTCATCACCCTTGGCAAGTTTCTTGCCTACTTGTAGATTTAGGAGGTCGTAATGCTGAGACTAAACATTGTCTCGAGATCTGTCCTCTCCATGGCCAGGAGCCTGGCTTTGCAGACCACTGGAAAGCGTTCCAGCAAGTGGGTGTGCAGGATGGTGGGAGCCTTTTGAGGTTTGGTCTCTTTTTCTCAACTGTTCAATTTGCTTTGTTCTCCAGCCATTACCGATGACAGCTGAGACCATTGAGCCTGAGCTGCCAGCAGCCGCAGGTGGCTGGACAAATGGCAGACGAGGGGTAGCTCTTCCATCAGGCGCTGAGTACTCAGACCTGGCAGGATGCTGGGATGGGGGACAGGAGGAAAGGGAGAAAGGAGGCCAGGGTGATGCTATCTTATTGGCAGGGGAGCTACCTGTGGTTCACCCATATTTGTGATTCCTGGGCTTTGACTCCTCTCCCCATTAGAAAGGAGGGGTAAGGAAGTTAGGCTGGGTGGGCACCTGGCCCTGCTGTTGCACTGATGTCATCTCACCTCAGGGTTAGTGACTATGACCCTAAGGGGTCAGAGAACCCAGCACTATTGTTTTAGAACAATAGGAGAGAGGAGAAGGGATGTGAGAGCTATTTAAGTATTATTTCCGCTCAGCACTTGCTGGGTGGGAGAGGAAGGCAGTGGGGCGGCGGGAGGGAGGGCACAGAACAAGTGGGAGCTCAGCAGATCTGAGGAACTCTTATGTTCCATCCTTGGAAGGTGAGCTTAGCCTCAAGAGAAGAAATCACAGTAGAAAAAGCCCTGGTTTGGAGTCTGACTGAGCTGGTTGGAATTTCAGCTCTGACTGGCTTGCAGGAGGGCCACTACCTGTCTGAGCTGCTCCTCACCTGTAAGTTGTGGTCTTACCTAAGGTTACTGTGAAGTCGCTGCAAGCTCATGCTGATGAATGCCCAGCATGGTGCCTGCACACAGAAACTACCCAGCAGCACCAGCGCCTTGTGTTCCCCTTTTCAGAGTCCCCATTCTCTGCTTGGTGAGAAATGTTCCCATCAAAGTCTGTGGCAAGAGTATCTGGGAGATTTATCATGGCAAGTGGGCTATGGCGTCTCTCTTGTGCTTGGCTGACCATGGAGGGTGGGTGAACCTTCCAAGTAGCAAATATCTGCTGAGTTCTGGCAACCCCCTTCATGGCTACAGTAACCTCACTGGTCCACTGTCCATGGACCAAGCTCATACAAAAGTAGTGTCCATGGTGGGCACTTCATCTGTAACCCCTCAGCACACTCACTGCACAGTCTTGCAAGTCTTCCAGGGCTCTTTCTGGCCAAAGCCCACTCACTTGCAAGACCGGGAGGGAATTCATGTCTGCTCTTTCCCTCTGCTGCTACAGCTCTAGTTAGTGGACAAAGGCCCAGCTCCCCATGGCCTCAAGTCAGGAAGGCTGAGATGTGTGGTGTACAATGTCTTCCAGAGTCTCCCAGTGAGACTGAACACCAGCTGCTTCCAGTTCTAGTCTCCCAGATGACATACCTTTGTTTGCTTCTTTCCCTTCCCAGCCTTCCTCTCCACGCCCTGGGGTCACCTCCCAGATAACCTACTTGCCCCCACATCTTTGTGAGTGAAGCACAGATAAGACAGTTGAGTACCTGCTGTGCCTCTGCACAAGCAACTCTGGTACCAAAAATGGAACCAAGGACAGATCAGGCGAGGCTGCCTTTAGAGATGTAGAGACTCACTGTAGCGAGGGAGAGCCAGCGTACTGCTGGACAGCTGCACAGCTCATGTGGGCCAGTTACTTCATGTTCTCTCCCTGCACAGTGGCAACGTGGAGCGCTCTGAAGCCCTGCTTGACAACACTCTCATACTGACGGTGCCTCTGGTGCACGAAGTGGACACTTCCATCACTGGGTAAGTAGCCCATTCTAGTCTGGGTGGCCTCAGGGGTGCCCTCCAGTTGAATGCTTTGCTCTTTTGTGTTTGTGTGTGTTACCTGCCAGGAGCGGTGGCTTTGCTGCTCCTTTCCTCTCAGCCTTGGAAAGCAGGATGAAGCCTTAGCTGTACCCTCTTCTTTCCTTATTTTTCTGTCCTAGCTACCCACCCACCTGGTTGGTGACATCAGAAATGATGACAAACCTCATAATTTCTTGAGCATTCTATACACCTTTATATGCATCTGTTCTCACCTTACTCTATCATGATGCCATAATGGTGGCTGGAGTGTGCTTCTTGGGATTAAAATCTCAGCCAGAAGTTATTGCCAGATGTATTCCTGGCCTTGGCTCATAGGAATGAATCAGAAGGGCTACCCTTCTGATTAGCTTCACAGTTGGCACTGGCTTTGTGTTTTTCTGTTACTTCCTTCTGCAGAGCCACACATGGCTCTGCTTGATGTCTGTGATGACCTCGAATTGTTAGGGAACCATCAGGACGGCCACATTGTCTGTACACGTGAAGACTACAGCCCCACAGTGGCGCTGGTGTTGTTGGAAAGCAGGCCTGCAGGCTGTGGCCTGCAGAGAACCCAACAACCCAGGTTAGTTTTCAGCCAAAACCCTGGCTAGAAAAATGACAACTCAGTTCCTGCTCCCAGCTTCAGCAAACAGAGAACATAGTAGAAAAAATTGTTTGCACAATTGGATTAGATCAAATGAAGAACCATGGAGCCTTTGACCCAAATGCAAGCTGAACTTTCTCATTTTTCAAGTGCTTCTGGGTGTCTTCCTTGGCTAGAAGGAATATTGATACATTTGAGAGGAGCCATGCCTACAATAACTCCTGCCCTGCTGGGAGCCAGGGGAGTGAGTGGCCTTGCTTTCCTGTGCCTGAGCTCTTGGCATTTTTCATCACATTTTCTAGACACGAGGCATTGGAATAAACTTGCGAATTAGCATATATTTGCCTCAGTTCACAGCTCTATTTTTAACCATATGGTTTATTTATTTGTCCTGTCCAAGAATAGTGAGAATATACCCAGAACCAAGCCCTATGCTCTATTCTAAAGAGAAAACACCTCCCACACACATGTGAGCATGTTGTTAGGCCTTAGGAGACCTCACTGTGAGGTGCTAACAGGCCCTGATGAAGCTATCAGGTAAACAAATGAGTCAACTTCTGATCCTTCCAGGAACCCAAAGCAGGGTGAGTTTAGATGAACCAGTTCTTGACATTTGGAAATGCTGGGAACTCACAGTATTGCCAAAGCAATGTGCTTAAATTGAAAATAGTTGTGTTGTTGTCTGATGGGACTCGGTCCCAAAAATCTCAGCCTAGTTGTGCTTAGGTGAGTAGGTGGCTTTGAGCATCTAGGATTCATTATTTGTGTGGGGATGTCAGTAGGAGCTTTGTTCCTTTTCAGGAATTTGTTGATAGCAGCCAGATTGAAAGTATTGCCACAAACTGAGCTTAAATTCTGATGGTAGCCACTGCCTCAAATCTGAGGGAAAATGCCATCATTGAATTGACTTGACTTTCCAGTACCTAGTTTTCAGTAATCATAGTCTGACACATTCAAATTAAATTTTTGAAATGAATATATGTCAGGGTAAGATTTGGGCACCAAATACATAATTCATTTATATTTATTTAAAATGTTTATTATAAGCTTTCTTGATCTACAAAATGTTTTTCAAGTGACAAAACAGTGAATACATAGTTTTATTTTTACAGGTTTGTTTATTCATTTATTTATTTATTTTGGGTGCTACTAAAGATTGAACCTGGGGCCTTCACACTGAGCTATATCCCCTAACCCTTTTTCAATATTCTGAGACAGGGTTTTGTTAAATTTCCCAGACTGGGTTCAAACTCCCCATCCTCCTGCCTCAGCCTCCCAGAGTGCTGGGATTACAAGGCATGTGTCTCAATGCCTGGCTTTATGATCCAGTTTTTAAAAAGGTTTCCATAGTTTTGTTTGTTAGAACTTCCTCATTTTAGAAATTTAATCCCACCTAACCTAGGTACCTAAAGTATATGTAACTTAGTGATGCACTCTAAAGCTAGAAGACAAACTAGAAATGTCTATTTAGAAAATAGACTGGCTGACCCCCTCAAGGGAAAGAGAAGAACTAGTCCTAAAAGGTAAACATTTGGTGGGAGACACTGGAGTAAATACAGATGTTTGTGTTCTCAGGAGAGCAGTGACTGTGAGTGCCTGACTATGGTTTGGGATGACAGTATTCATGCTTTCCTTTCCAGAATCGTGTCTCCAACTTCGTTTGTGTATGGTGAGTCTGTGGACACATCCAACTTCATTCAGCTGGATGACCTGGAGTGTCATTTTCAACCTCTCAACATAACCGTTCAGGTACCTATACCTGGAAACCACCTCTGTCACTGAGTACTGACAGAAGGCCCTGTGGAATGTGTCTCCTAGTAAAGGGAAGCTAATGGCCTAGCTTGTTTCAGGAGAAACCTTCCCCGGACTGGTTTGCTCTGTGTGTGTGTGTGTGTGTGTGTGTGTGTGTGTGTTTTCTCTGTAACTACATATGCAGACCCTTGTACTTTCCACAACTTGGAAGAAGAGGTACACCAAGATGAACATCAGCTTTCCCACCAATGCCTCTATATAGCTGAGCTGAGGCCAGTGTCCCACTGTTCCTATAGGAACCCTTTGCGTTCTCCATGATTCTCTACCTTAGAGACAGGGGAGCTTCAGAGGACCAGTTGCATCCCATTTCTCTTGGGGTTTCCATAGTAACTGAGCCAGGAGGAGCAGCCTTTGGGAAGTGCAGCTTTACAAGACAAAGCTTCACAGGAAGAAGTATGCTGCTTCCTTTCTGAGCTGGAGCTGGGTCATCTCAGTTCCGTAAGGTCACCTCTGCAGGTCTGTTCATTGTGGATTGTGGACATCATGAAGAACACCGTCCCTTTTCTCTATTATGGATTGTAAACTTTTTCTGAAAAGGCCTAGCAGGTAGGTGTTATAGGCCTTGTGGACCATCCAGTCTGTGAGGCAACAATTTGGCCATGCCCCTGTAGTACCAAAGCAGGCATGGACATCACATAAATAAAATCTTAGCTACGGACATGGAAATATGTTTCACATAATTTTTATATATCATAAAATGGTATTACTCTTCTGATTATTTTCCCAACCATTTAATGATGTAAAGTGGCCATTCTGAGCTCCCAGATTGTACAACAGGAGACACTGGGCCACATGTGGTCATAGTTTACTGACCTCTACTTTTAAAGTGTGAACTCTCTGGCCAACTTTTCATCATGGGACTTTGTGAATGTAAAACTAGAGGGACCTCAGCATCATCCAGTCCATGGCCTCTTCAGTAAACAGGGACGTATAGGCCTTCCGTGAGAAAGGACATGCAGAATAAAAAGTCCTAGAGCTAGGTGAAGTGCAGCTGGGGCCAGCACTGCTTAGTCACTGCCTAGATCCACGTGGACCAGCTCCTGGCCAGGAACTTTGGATAAAGTAAGGAAAAGTGGCCCATTTTACCCATAGTACACTGGTGTCCACATCTCTTGCTTCCAGAGTTCTTGTTCTGCCTCTTCCATGCTTCCCCATGGAGAAGATGGTTTCCTACTCTGGTATTACTGCTATGGCCAAAGAATGAGTATTTTCTTTCCCTGTGGCTTCTCCTAAGTGGACTTAGAGAATGACAAATAATGATGGGGTGAGAGTCCAGAGAATGAAGCGGTAAAACATTTGCGGGCTCTTGCAAACAATGGTCTTCCTCTCTCCAGCATTCTCACAGGCAGGACGCCTCCAGAACCATGATGGATAACACATGTCCCCAGCTCACAGAGGATGTGCCTCCTGCCCAGCTAAGCCCCATCTGTCACACCCTGCCCTTGATTTACAAGAGAGGAAGGGAAAAATGGGGTTAGGGCTTAGTCTGGAGACTGTAGGGTGACGGCTGTGAATCACACCTCTGTGTTTCTGAATTGCTTCTTGGAGTTCATGTTTTTCCTTTGTGTTTTGTAAGTAGATAGAAAACAGATAAAGACCAGATGGATTTATTTAATATTGGTCATTTATGCTCTTTTTTAAAGAGTTTTTGAGGTATCTGGCAATAAAACATACAGTCAAGAAAATTACTTAGAAATGACACAGACATGTAATGGAAGGGGTACAGGTGTTGAAAGGAGGCAAGTGGAGGAATAGTAATTACACAAATGCTAACGAGTATTGTGGCCTGATGAAAAAGGAAGAGGGGGGGAAGAAAAAGGAGAAAGAAAGAAAGAAATCTAAGAACATGCTGTTTATTCTTCCAGTTGTTTCTTTGAAGGCATTTTTATAGGGAGCTTAAAATTTGGTGCTTAGGCAGATAGTTTTCTTCACATCTGCCCTGAAATATGACCTGGGCTGGTAAATTGGACCCCGAGGAGTGAGTGATTGGCATGTCCCTTAGAAAAACTGCTCCATGAGCCATTGCCTGAAGAAGTACATAGCTTTCAATCCAAGACTGAGACAGTCAGCTGGGTCTGAGAGATTGATAGTGCATGCCATTGTTTAGGAGGAGATACTTGTGTGTTATCAGTGCCCATTGTTTCCTTGAGAATCCTCTGACAGCGCATTTTCTGGTGTAATTGTCATTAGTGGGAAGGTCACTGACCACATAGGTGGTAATAATGACCAGAAGGTAGAGATGGTGGGGGAGGAAGAGGTCAGGCATATGGAGAGACTCTTCTGTGTTTCCACATTCCAGCAACATTCCTGAAGAAGAACATAAGACTGCTTATGAACAGATTTTTCTGTGTCTTTTAAAATTTGTTATTCAACAAGCTGCATAATTGTTAAAGAACTTCATTGCAAATGCAGATGAGACAAAGGCCGAAATGGCTACTCTTGGCCCTGCTGTCTACATTTCACTACAGTTTTTTAACAAAAGTACAGCAATTTGTTGACCATTTGTAGGCTTTGGATGTTTTTCGCATCAAGAGTGAAAGATTTTCCCCACCTGAAAAAGAGTAAGGGAAACTATTACAGATGTCACACATGAACATTTGCAGAAAATCAAGTGTTAATATATTATTTAAAATAATATGGTAACACAAGCTCTTCCAACCCCTGGGCTCTGATGAGTGAGATCAGTTAAATAAGATCCTTTTCCCTTTTGCTCACCCCCACTCGTGCTTTGATTGGGATTTTCCAGACATGTGAGGAAGGTTCTTTTCAATTCTGTGCTCTCATATTTCACTTCTAATTAGCTATTTCAATTGTGGCTGGATATTTCTTCTTTTTCTTGTGTCTTGGGGTTGTTGTTTTTGGTTAACTTTGTTCTTTTTGAACCAAGAGTTGGCTCATCTGCGCTATCATTTTTAATGTATTCCTTGAAGCAGAACAAACTGTTGTAAAAGAATAAAGACAGTGTTTTTCAGAGAAGAGTTAGCTGGAGCTTGGTCCTCAGACATTTTATCATATGTGAAGACCTGGTTAGATTCCCAGCACCCTTTCCCTCTTTTTTGTCCCTCTCTTTTGACCTGAATTTCAGGGATGCTTTGAGTCTTTGAGTTCTATCTCTAACCCTCAAGCTGCAGCAAACCAGCATTTCATTTCTTCCTCTTTCCCATTTATCTATTCACCTTTTTTAATTGACAAATTAAAGTTGTACATATTTTACTAATCTTTTTAAAAAATGTCTCCTTTGAGCCCACAGCAGAGTTTACCCATTTAAAGTATCCAGTTCAGGGGTTTTTAGTATGTTTAAATGTTGTGTTTTCATCATCATTATCTAATTTTAGAATACTTCCATTACCGCCCGCCAAATAAACCCCATACTTGTGAGCAGTCATCCCCATAAAGCTACCTTGGAGCTCTTGCAGGTTTTGCTGTAGACCACTGCACTAATGCAAATATCCTAATAATGTCGTACAATTTTTTTGTTTCCTAGTTCATGTAAAAGTTATGTTTAAACTCTACTATAGTCTATCAATTATGCAATAACGTTATGTCTAAAAATGTGCATACTTTAAGAATACTTTATATTGCTAAAAAATGCTAACAATCATCTGCTCCCTCAGTAAGCCAGGGTTTTTTTTCTTTGCTGGTAGAAGCTCTTGCCTCAGTGTTAATGGCTGCAAACTATTCAGGGTGGTACTTGCCAATCTTGGCTGTGGCAGTTTCTTTTTTGTTTTGTTTTGTTTTTGGCTTTTTCTCTGGTACCGGGAACCGAACTCACGACCTTGCACTTGCCAGGCAGGCGCTTTGCCGCTGAGCTAAATCCCCAACCCCTCAGTTTCTTAAAAGAAGACAGTAGTGAAGTTTGTCACATTGATAGTCTTTTGCAAAAGATTTTTATATTTGATATCATTTGCCCACAGTAGACCATCTTTCAAAATCAGAATCAATCCTGTCTAACACTGACATTCCCTCCATGTGCTGTTTATGTAGTAGTCTAAATTCTATGTTATCATTTCAACAATATTCACTAGTTTCATTGTGAATAGATTCCATCATAAAAACACTTTCTTTGCTCGAGTGTAAGCAGCAGATCATCATTGTTAAAGTTTTATCATGAGGTTACAACAGTTCAGTCACATCTTCAGCTCTGCTTCTAATTCTTGTTCTGCTGCTATTTCTACCACATCCACAGTTATTTCCTCCACTGCAGTCTTGAACCCCCTCAAAATCATCTGCAAGAGTTGGAATCATCTTTCAAATTCCTTTTAATGTTGCTATTTTCACCTCCCATCGTGAATCCTGAATTTTTTTTTAAATGATCCTTTTTTGGTTTTCAATTCATATTCCCTAAATCCATCAGAAGAATCGCTATCTATGGCAATTATTTAGGAAATGTATTTCCTAAATAAAAAATCTTGAATATCAAAATTATTCCTTGATCCGTGGGCTGCAGAATGGATGTTGTCTTAGCAGGCATGAAAAAGATTAATCCATTAATTTCATTATATGTCTCCATCAGAGCTCATAAATGACCACGTGCATTGTCGATGAGAAGTAAAATTTTGAATCTTTTTTTTTTCCTGAGCAGTGGGTCTCAACAATGGGCTTAAAATACTCATTTAACCATGTTGTAGACAGATGTGCTGTCACCCAGGCTGTGTTGTCCCATTTATAGAGCACAAGCAAAGTGGCTTTAGTATAATTCTTACAAACCACAGGATTTACAAAATGGTAAATGAGCCTTAGCTTTAATTTAAAGTCACAACTACATTAACCCCTAGCAAGAGAGTCAGTGTGGCCTTAGCTTTGAAGCTAAGCACTGATGTTTCCTCTCTAGCTATGAAAGTCCTAGATGCCAACTTCTTCCAAAAAAAGACTTTTTCATCTACCTTAAAAATATACTGTTCATTGTAGTTTCCTTCAGCCATGATAGACAGATCTTCCAAATAACTTGCTGCAGCTTCTACCACAGTATTAACTGTGTTGCCTTACACTTTTGTGTTACCGCAGTAGCCTCTTTCCTTAAACCTCATGAACCAACCCCTGCTAGCCTCAAGCTTCTCTCCTGCAGCTTCTTCACCTCTCCCACCCAGCCTTCATAGAATTAAAGAGAATTAGGGCCTTACTAAAAGCCTGGGTTAGGCTTTCGCTTAAAGCCATGCACTGGTTTTATCTTTTATCCAGACGACTAAAATTTTGTCCCTATTGGTAATAAGACTGTTTTGCTTTCTTGTTATTCATGCATTCACTGGAGTTTCATTTCATGTCCTTCAAGAACTTTTCCTTCATGTTCACAATATGGCTAACCAGGGCAGGAGACCTGGCTTTTGGCCTGTCTCAGCTTTGGACATCACTTCCTTACCAGCCTTAATAATTTCTAACTTTTAGTCTAAAGTGAGAAGTATGCAGCTCTTCCTTTTCATTGAACATTTAGAAGCCATTCATTTCTTGCCTTTTCCATCTTCTAGAAGCTCTGGGAATTCTTTGGCTTATGGGCCCCTTCCATTTGCAAAGCCAGCAGTGGGTGGTCTTGTCTTTCTTATGGTGCTATAGCTCTGATTCTGAGCCTTCTGCCCTTCTTCCCTATAGAAGGGCCCTTGTGATTATGTATTATGTATCCACCTGGATAATCCAAGATAGTTGCTTATTTGAAAGTTGTCTGGGGGGCTGGGGATTTAGCTCAGCGGCAAAGCGCCTGCCTGGCAAGCACAAGGTCATGAGTTTGGTTCCCGGTACCGGAGAAAAACCAAAAACCAAAAACAAGAAAGTTGTCTGGTTAGCAACCTTAATTCTGTCTGCAACCTTGGTTCCCTCTTGCAATGTAATATAACATTCACTGGTTCGACAAATTAGAAATGGACATCTTTGAGATCCTGTTTTCCTACCAGTCATGCTCCCTTTTCTCCCTAACCCTGATCTTAGGCAGCCATTATTCTACTTTCTGTCTCTATAGATCTATACATCTTTATCTTTCTCCTTCACATCCTTTGTCTTCCTTGGGTTTCATGCTCCTTATACTTTATGATCTCTTTATGACCAGCATCTTTCCCTCATTTCTTCGGAGATGACTGACTTCTAGATACAGAAAATGAAATGGATGGGAGAGAGGAGAAGGGAGGTAAAGTTTCATAAGACCAAATGCTGGAACAGGAAAGAGGTACACAGATGTCATAAAAAAATATTAATAATTAAGTGGGTATAAAGTGCCTAGAAATTGAATAAGCTGGATCATTACGTAAAAACATCCCTTTCTGTAAACTACAGATCACTTGGTTCTGAGGTAACTCATTTGATCTTTTAAGGTTTCTGTTACCTCAGACTGTACAAGAAAGGAGGTTGGACCACATTAGTGGTTCAGAGGAGGTGGGTCCTGGGCTAGCACCAGCAGCAAGTGCTGCTGCTCCTTAGAAATGCAGTGCTTCGGCCCCATCCTGGACTTTCTTCAGAAACTCTGGGTGTGACCCCCTAACCCCAAACCCACACCCCTCAGCACCAATCTGTATAGATGATTCTGATGTTATACTGAAGTTTGAGACCCACTGGACTAGATTATTCTAAATTCCCACCTAATACATTCTATGAGTAAAATTATAGCCATTTAAAAATAAATGTAGTCTTAATAGGAAAAGAAGAAGCAAATACTAAAATGGAATAGGTAATTTGAAAGTGTGAGATTTTTAGATACCCATTGGAAGGATTTCTATTTCACCAAAATTTCCCATCATTTAATATGTCACTTCACCTGAAATCATGACCTAGAGCCAAACCCTGGAATTTCTGTGTGTGAGTCAAAGAATCTGAGAGTACATATTACATGGCATGAAATAAAAGTCATTTTTTCCACTAAAGCTTGCTCTGTGTTCCACACCCACAGGTCTATAACACTGGCCCAAGCACCCTTCCTGGGTCATCTGTCAGCATTTCATTCCCCAACCGACTGTCACCTGGTGGTGCAGAGATGTTTCAAGTCCAGGAGATGGTGGTGAGTCTTGCATTTGTTTGCTCTGTGGCCTTCAGCCAGCCTATTCAGATTTTGTATTCCATCCACCCTGACATCCGCTCTGAGTGCCCGGAGAACTTAACAAATCATACCCATTGGAAACATCTGGACAAGACAAGGGGCCTATGATACCTTAATTTTTTCATTGAGATAGTTTGGTTAATGCCATAAGAAAACCTCCATGTGGATGTGGAAGAGATGATTGTAAACCTGACTCTTGGGTCAGGTGAACTGGTAGGCTGGCTCTGGGAACCCCCAGTGATGCTGTAGTCCTATGTGTGTCTGAGTGCCTTCCTCTGAGAAGATCCACAAAATTCACAACATTTCTCAGAGAGACACTGACACCCAGGATAAAGGATTAGTGTGTAGACATAGTCATAGGTTGAAATTCAAGTTTATATGTGCAGTGTGTAGCTCTGCCTGACCCTGAGTCAATGATGGATGACTTTATCTGAAGGTAAGCATGACGACCAATGTATATTTGGCCGTTGCTGCCTACCTCCTCAAAACATTCTTTGTTGCTTCTATGACATCATGTTTTCTTCATTTCCCCTTTCTCACTGACTTCTGTCTTCATTTCTCCAACCTCTAGAGAGCCCATAGCCCTTCCTGTAAATGACAGATCACTTGGTTTTGCGGTAGCTCATTTGGTCTTTTTGAGTCTGTTTGAGTCCTCTTGGTCTTTTCGCGGTAACTCATTTGGTCTTCATTCTCCACCCCACCTCTACAATGTCATCCATACTCATGGCTTTAAATGCAGTGTGTTCTGATGACACCACCTGTTTCCTCTCCATCTCAGATCCCTCCTATGAATCCCAGACTTTAGTCGCCAACTACGTTCAGGACATTCTGCCTAGGTGTCTAATATGTCAGTTTTATACAGAACTCAATTCCTAATAGTATCCTTCTGTATCAGTCCCTTGTTTGTTGTTTATAACACAGTACCACAGAATGGATATATTATAAAGAATTTTGGCTCATGGTTCAGAAAGCCCAAAGTTGATGGACTTTATCTAGTGATCACTGTCTTGTTAACAAAGTCCTAAGGCATCACAGGGCACTGTATGATCAAACAAACAAAATGTGTGTGTGTGTGTGTGTGTGTGTGTGTGTGTGTGTGTGTGTGTGTCTCCATGTGTCCATCCATCAGTCCTTTGGTCTCTTTTCCTCTTGTAAATCTATAGTATTCCATCATGAGAATGTTCAACCCTGATGACCTTATCTAATCTTTATCCCCTTCCAAAGACCCCTCTAAACACCAGTGTGATATTAAGCTTCTACCCTCTTATTACCTTAAAGTGGAGACTGAGCATCAACATGAATTTCACCATACCACCTTCCAAACCTGCTTCTCCCATAGCCCCTTTATTTCAGCAAACAGCCTGTCTGTCCTTCCTTAATTTCCTCTTGTTTTGTCGACTTTATATCTAACCCATTAGCAAACCTAGTATCTCCTCCTTCACAACAAATGAAGAATATTACTGCTGTTGGAATTTCCACTTCCAGCACCCCAGAGTCCAAGACCCTATTGTCTGTCACCTAGGTTTTGGTACTAGCACCTCACTGGTGTCTCTGCTTCTGCCCTGGGCCCTTTCACTTTGACCTTCCAGAATGTAAGGTAATGACACCTCTGCTCAAACCTTCCAATGGCTTTTTCTCCCACTGGCCCCCGAAGTCCATTGTCAGCTGCCACTTTTTGACCTCATCTCCTCCTCCTTTTACCCTCTCTCCTCTACCCTACACAACCTCTTGGTAGTCCCACATTCTTCCACCTACAGAATTTTGTCCTCTGTACTTCCTCTACCTTCCTCCTCCTCTACCTAGGCCCAGCCTAGACATGCACATGGCTTCCTCCTTCATCTCCTTCAGGTGCCCACTCAGATGTTTCCTTGTCAGTGAGAACCCCCCTGACCAGCCTCTGTCCAGCACACCCCATCACCCTTTCCTGCTCACGTTTCACCATTACCTCATCACAAGCTGACATCCATCTATTTTCTTGTTTGATCTGTTTAACTAACTCCTTCCCATCCCTTCCAATACAAGGACAGGGATTTCTATCTATCTTCTCACTGCTGTGTCTCCAGGACCAGGTGTAACTTGTGGTAAATAACAAAGGCTTGGCAAACATTTTATGCTGGAAGAATGAATCCATAGTAGAAAACTGAGTTGTCTAAGCAAACTCAAGAAAAATACTGATAACAATCTCGATAGAAATCCCTTTGCTCAACAATTTGAGTTTTGCTTATGGAGAAATATTGAATGTGTCCACTGTGATTCCTGTTATCAGAGTGCTCTGGGAGTTTACTGTGTCTCAGACTTTGAAGGACTAGGTATGAAGATGCTGCCTCCTGCCTAGCTCCTGGGGAGGCTCGGGGCATGGAGCTCAGGAGAGTCACTGCACAGGAGACCGTGTCAGACCATGTTGAAAGGATCAGGAAAGTATTATTCCTTATGTGGACTGGGGAGGGACAGACAGCAGATAATCTCGCCATAGGTGGCTTGAATATCAGACAGCAGGGCCAAGGGATGTGACAGATCTGAGTGCAGAGTCAAAGAGGACATTGCCCACAGAGTGGAAACTTAGCACCCTCCATGCAGTTATGGTTTCTGACATCACTGTCCTCTTGGGTCTTGTGGACTGGGCATCAGAACCATGTGAACCTGGAATGTAGAAATGGCCACCCTGACTGACTGTCTGCTCAATCAGTTATGTCCTTCATAGTATTCTATTCATGTCCCATTGTGTGCCCTTGTCTGTGAGCTCTATGGAGCTGTCAGGGAAATCTACAGTGTTGTAAATCAGCAACACACCATGGTTTGAACTTGGCATAAGGTTAGCAAACCACATATACCTGTCCTTTCTCTCTCCCTGTCTCCCTCCTCCCTGTCTCCCTCCCCACTCTCACTTTCTGTTTTTTGGTGCTAGGGGTTGAGCTCAGAGCCTAGCACTCTATTACTGGACTACACCTCCGCCCTCCTCCTTAAATGTTATTAATCATACTAACTACTCCACCTTATCCCCTGACATCTAGGAGTGTTCTTCTCATACAGCATGCTAAGACTTGTTCATATAAATATCTACGATCTTGAGAGACTGTATTTCCTGTAGGTAAATTGATTTTTAACACAAACAGTAGTCACTCATTTAGGTACCTCAGATTCTAAAGGTATCTCTGAACAAAGCATATATATATTTAAAAAAAAAATCAAACAATATGTAAATATAATGTAATCAATATATCAATATAATGTATAATCAATATATTGATAACAATGTAATTTTATATATTATATATATTGATTATCAGGCCAAGGAGAAAGCACTGGAAAGGACTTTGGAGCACACTTACAAATGTGCATGGAACATATTAGAAGCGGTTTTCCTGAACATTTGCAGAACTGCTGGTCTGTTAGTCTAGCTGAGTGGACCCTCAGACTCCCAGGCGGTGTGAGGTAGCTGTATTCTGCTGTGTGCTAAGATACAAACCCTTTGGATTTTCAAAACTATATTTAGAATTTTCATAGTGTGTAATGGAATTCTCAAGGGTGCCAGGCCAGGTGAATTGACCAGTCCATAGCATTTGCATGTTATGGACAAGTAGACTTACGGCAAATCTCACTAAGCAAGCGGTGCAACACTGTCTTCTTATGGACAGTGATCACCAGAGGCCAGAGCGCTGATGCAACTGGAAATAAAGAGCAGATGCACAGTGTGCGGGGATGAGGCAAGGGTCTCAGATGCTTGTTTCAGAGGCCTGAAGCTCACACATCGTTCACCTTCATGCCCGAGGTTTCCAAGAGCAAGAACGTCCTGCAGTTCCAGCAGGTTCCCAGCCCTAGTCCCTCCCTTACTCAGCAGAGCCTAAGAATGGTCACTGCGTTACTCCTTAAGCAGATGGCATTCTCCTCTTTGGCATTCTAGAAATTTGAATGGAGCAAGGCTTTCATCTGTGGATTTGGGTGGCTTAGTGCTAGTCATTCTCCTTTGGAGAAACCAGCACTCCCTGAGTTTCTGGCCTTCCTTCCTCACCCCTACTCGGAATCAGCACCTGACAAGCTGCTGAGCAGCTAAGCACCGACAGGGTATGTTAAGCCAGTTGCGGCCCAGAACCAGATGACAGGCACAGAAGGAAGGTCCACCTGACGTTACTATTCACATCCCAGAGGTGACTCAGAGTGTTTTTGCTACTTTAGCTGTGTCCTCCATATTCATATTGCTTGCAGTCGTCATCCACATAGAATCCTTGGGATAGATTTGCTGGCTCTATGGGTCCTGGGCTATCCCTCCTTCAGCCTTGAGGCTGATACCGTTTTCTTTCAGTTCAGAGTTCATTCAGAAGCTTGTGGGGCTGTTGTCTGGGTCTCTGGGAAGGAGTGTCCTTCTGGGTTTCACCAAAGCGTGGTCTGTCCTTATGAGGAGCCCAATAAGGTGAGATCACTCTCAGCTTCAGCTCATGATCTTTCCTTTGACTAAATATTCCCAAATCCCTCTGCTATGCTTTTGTTTTATCATGGTGGCCTGAGGAAAGACCAAAATCTCCACTGCTTTCTGCCCTCTGGGGTTGTGTGGAGCCCTGTGGGGACACAATAACTACTCACAACACAGACATGTATGGATGGGCCATTGCAGACCCGGTTCTATTAGGAAGCTAGTTTGGAGTGACCATGAAAATTACTGTTTTTGAGAGAGGAAAAGAGTGACAGATAATATTTCTAGTCTCTCTAAAACAACATCTTTAGCAATGGGTTAGAAACTTGAATTGAGGGATTTTCCAGGATTATAATGTAAAAGGAGAAAAACCAAGTTAAATGTATTCATTTTTATGTAATTATCTGGAATGAAAATCCAATATAACTTTAGTATATGAAGAAAGCCAGAGATAATGGACATGAAAGCAAGCTATAAGTGTACCCGCTTTGGTGAAGAGTTACTCTACAAGTTAACTCAAGGATTTGGTTTAAAAATCTTTAAATGTGTAAAA